ATCTCCAAGACAATAATTACATGTCCAAGAAGGTTGAGGTGCTGATCTCCATGGAAAAATCCACTATTTCTCTTGCCAATCACGATTTCCAGAACTAGAACTCCAAAGCTAAATACATCTGATTTCTGTGAGAATCGTCCATGTACTGCATATTCTGGTGACATGTAACCACTGCATGGAAGTATTAGCCAGCAAATAATGTTAAGAACAATGAAAGTATATTAGTTATATGTTGTGCCGTTTTGATTCTTACTATGTTCCAACTACTCGACTTGTCTTATCTTCGGTTTCATTCCCTCCGAAACTTCTAGCAATGCCAAAGTCTGATATTTTAGGATTCATGTCATCATCTAGCAATATGTTGCTCGCTTTGAGATCTCTATGAATAATTCTCATTCGAGAATCTTGATGAATATACATCAGTCCCCTAGCCACTCCATTAACAATTTGGAGTCGCTTTGGCCAATCAAGTAATGCACTTCTGGTTTGATCTGCCAAAATGTTGTGCTGGTTAATATATGTCATCCAATTGTAGTTGGATGCTAAACACTAGAAATTAATTGCAAAATCTATTATCAACTATGTACTCTGAAGAAAACACTATATTGTATCACAAATCGTTAAATGGAGCAAAGGAATAATGCTGTCCTATATTTATGCAATCAATTCAATTCTGGACTAGCATTAATCTTCTATTCACTGCATGATTTCTAAGTTATCCCTAACCATATGGCCTGAACAATGACTTAAACTAGTAGAAATCCTTTCTATCTTTATATTGAAAGGTAATTTTGAGCTTACTGCACTAGAATTATACATCCTTACCAAATAAAATCAAGTCTAGGCTTTTGTTGGGCATGTATTCATAAATGAGCATCTTTTCTTCTCCTTCTATGCAGCATCCTAGAAGCTTAACAAGATTTCGATGCTGAAGTTCAGCGATACAGATAACTTCATTCTTGAATTCATCAAGGCCTTGCATGGAAGTTTTGGACGACCTTTTCACAGCAACATCTTGTCCGTCTTCCAAAATTCCCTAAGATCAGAATTTGGTCATTTGAGAAGGTATTTTATTTAATGAACTTGAAGTAGCAATATCAATCAAGTCTTCATACCAAAACAAGCATCCACTTCCCTCTCCGCTGATATTTAACTGTGTATACGCCATACAAGAGCAATCCTTTACGCACTCCACTTTGCATTCTTCAAGAGTCATACTCTTGTTATACTTGGAGTTCGGGAATCTGGTAATTTAATTCCTGAATACTTCAAAAATATGTCACCCTTTAAACAATTCAAGGGTGTCCTTCGGTTGCAACCATTCGTCCAATCTGACCTACTCCAACCTTCTGGATCTTTTGGCTCAAATTTATCAAGACATACACATGCAGGAGTATTTGCAATATTGCAACTACCATAAGCACCGCACAATTTGTAAGTATCACAATTATCTGCTGGAAAATTGACGTAAGGGATCCAGTCATGGATCCGATCGACCCATGTCCAACGTTGCATAGTACCAGACTGAGTCAAAATAATCCTTGAAATAACTGAACTGTCAGTGGCCTCTAGCCTATGGTATACCTTGTCCTTGTTCATGATATATACAAATCTGAAATTCGTATCCTGCACTGAGTTTGTTTGCCCACTAAAGGCAAGACCATTCCGTGGTCCCAGTCTATACAGAGTAGTTGGACCTCTTTTTATGACTAGCTGTGGATATCCAGTTGGATCCAAATGAAATGTAAAATCCCCTCTAGCTGGATCGTCATTGGTCTTCCATGATGACAGGTAGCTCTCTACTCCTGTTACAAAATTCCAACCAATACTCATAGCTGGTAGGTACGTATCACTTAGATAATCAAAACTCTGCCAAAGAAAATTATCTGGACGATCATCATTTGCTTCTCTAAGGACAAGATTTCCAGTGTCCAACAATTGTAAAACCGGTGTCCGAGCAACTCTTGATGTATTGGAAGACCATATGATGTTATTAGTGTCATTCAGAACGACCAAGATACCCGGCTCCATTACTTTCAAGATGCCTGATGAACTTCTTACTGGAATTTCCCTGTTGGCTACCCAAACTGCAGTGCTATTAGGTATCTTTTGGTACCAAATTCCCACATACCGATTATTGGAGTTACCAGGGCTGAAAAATCCCAGTTCAAATCTTCCCCCTGATGAAACCAGGGTGTCGCCATCTCTAAGAATCTGAGTTGTATTAATGATATCTATAGCTGTCGAAATCTTGAGGATGGATGGTAAAAATGATAGGAGAAGAAGAAAAGGTACATGTTGAATTGGTTTCTTCATTGCCTCTTGGGCATACAATACAACTAAAAGAATTTCAGATTTGTTCGCTGATGGAAAATTGACAATAAATTGTTTAATTTATTGTATAATAATAATATAGAATGCTAGTCTGTAAAGTAAACTAGTTTGAAATTATTAGCTACACGAGTTTGAAATTTTTAATAATCTATTAGTTTATTCCTCTTTTTCAATCATCAGTATTTTTATCCAATACAAATATCAGCTTGGTCCAAGCACTTGAAAATATTTGTTTTGCATGCTATTATTTCATGGTACCATGTGTGAATCCTTTGGTTCTATTAAAAATTCGATTTTTTTTTTGGTTAATACAAGGAATTATTCATTGGTTACTGTGATTGAGGAATTTGCCATTACAATTGCCGTAACAGATTGAAAATCTGAAGTTTGACAAAGTCCACTTTTTGTATTCCATTTGACTATTGTGTATCTGAATTGGAGTATTTCTTCTTGTTATTCATAGTCTTCATGAATAGTCTTTCCTCGCGTAGAAGTTTCAACTTAAAAAATATATAAAAAAAAGACTCAACTCAGATTGGATTTAATGCATTTGACCTCATTGGATTTGCAACCGTCACCTTCTATAAGCTTTTAGAGTGACGTAATTTAGTCCCAGTATAAGTGATGTTAGATGATAAACTAAACAAAAGATGAAATTAAACGAGTCTTAAACCTCAATGGAGCTACATACGGATGGAAGGGGGCTGGCCTGGCCTGCAGTCCTCCGAAAGGCCCAAATTTTATTTATTTATTTATTTTTGTGAATAGTTTTTTTACTTGTAAATTTAGAGCTCGTTTGAGTCACATTATTTTCAAAAAAATATATTTTTCAACAGTGATTTGACATCATTTCAACTACATATTTTTCAATAAAATAATATTACGCATAAATTTAAAATTTTTCCTTATTTTTTAACCACACATTTCTCATTGATTTGACATGAATAATACATTTTTTTTATTTAGAATGTGGCTCAAACATGGGCTTATTTTTTTTTCTGCATTATAGTCCACCCTAAATTTTTGTAGTCCGATCTTGAATTCAATCCTAGATCCGTTACTGTACATAGCATTATTTTTTTTTTTTTTTTTTTCCACCATAAACCATAATGAAAAAGTGTCTAAAATCCTGATACCAAGGCAACGATCCCTACTCCTAGAAAGATACAAATAACCTCATTTAAATTAAAACACTAAGGCCACGTTTGGTACTTATTTTTTTCAAAATGTATTTTTCTTTCTCTTCTTTTCAACCACACATTCTTTATTAAAATAATATTACGCGTAAATAAAAAAAATTCCTTATTTTTTAACCACATATTTCCCATCAATTTACTGTTCAAAAATGCAATTTTACATAAAAATGACTACCAAACACCCACTAAATCTATAAATTACATTAAAATAGCACGACTAAATTATTAGATGGGACCAGCCAAGGATCAACGCGCATGTCCAGCTCGTAGGTTGCATCAGTCTCCGTAGCCTAAAATGGTTCGCCCTCGAAACAAAAATATCAATAGTATAAGACGAGTCATTGTCACGCAGTGGCAACTGATGCTTAGCATTAGAGACATCATCGGTCCAAATGTGACCCGGAAGCTTCAACTGAATTAGAATTAATCTTCTCGATGATCTCTAATAAACCAAGGTTCCGAGCAGCAAGCTTATTATACTCATGGGCAGGCAGGAAAACGATTCTTAATAAGAAACAGTCCAACATGATCACCAACCTAAAACTTTAGGTGTCCGTGCTGGGCGTCAGCTGCCAACTTGTACTCTGCATTAGGTTCCAAAAGTAGCCAACTTGTACTCTGCATTACATTTTATGGAATTCACAATTTTGTAAAATTTTCAATTATGCAGTCTATTATCTTTTATTTAAACTTACTAAAAATCTATTTTTTTGCTAAACCGATTAGTTATTCCCATAGAAAATCTACAGAGAAACCTTTCTTCCAATTCACAAGATAAGAGCCATTTCCATTATCTTTCTTTGATTACAATTCAAGATAAATTTATATATATTTAAGTATATTTAGATAGATATCTATTAGATCGTGGCTTCATGTACCAAACATTTCTATATCGCTGCATTGGATATTTTTGTTCCGACAATGTGATGGAGAATGGATGCGAGAAAGAGACTTTCATTTTTTTAAGGAAAAAAAAAGGAAATTCTCTCTTTCTAAGAGATTAAACTCAATAGAAAAATATTCGAAGTGTCTTTTTTGCTTTGTCCCGTGGGAAGATATCCTCTAGAGTTTTAGATTTATCTGAAGGAAAAGGAGATATAACAAAGAAGACACTCAAAGAAAATGAAAAAAGAAATTAATAAAATAATGTAATTGTAATAATTTAGTATACATAGAAATTAGAATAGTCTATAAATCTCTTTATTTTGAAAAATCTCACAAAAAAGATTTAAGAAAAACATTAGTTAATCGAACAAGAGTGTGGTATGTCAGAGGATCAGTTGATCGTGAGAGAGGGAATCGCTTGTTCCTTGAAAAGTTCTTTCAAATGATTCATCTATTTGATTGATGAATCATAAAAAGACAATTCATGGTTCATATGCTTAATAAGAAAGAATAATCAAATTGAGTTCATGAATTTCCCTAAGTCAGTTCATGGGCCAATAAAGGATTTTGATCTTCGAAACCCATTGGAAGGAGCAGTGCAAGAGAAATCATAGAGATATGATCGAATCTTTGGACGCCCCGAAATACTATGAGGTGCTCGAAAATGGTCAAAGTAGTTGAATAGGAGGATGACTATGACTATATCCCTTGGTAAATTTATCAAAGACAAAAATTATTTATTTGATATTATGGTGACTGGTTACGGAGGGACCGTTTCATTTTTGTAGGCTGGTCTTGTCTATTTCTCTTTCCTTATGTCTATTTTGCTGTAAGGGATTGGTTCACTAGTACAACCTTTGTAACTTTATGGTATACCATGGATTGCCCAGTTCCTATTTGGAAGACTGTAATTTCTTAATGGCCGCAGTTTTTACTTCTGTCAATAGTTTAGCGTATTCTTTATCGTTAATGTGGGGTCCTGAAGTATAAGGAGATTTTACTTGTTGCTGTCAATTAGGCAGTCTGTGGACTTTTGTTGCTCTCCATGGCGCTTTTGGACTAATAGCTTTCATGTTACGTCAATTCGAGTTTGGTCGATCTGTTCAATTGCGACCTTATAATGCAATTGCATTCTCTGGTCCAATTGCTGTTTTTGTTTTTGTATTCCTGATTTATCCACTAGGTCAGTCTGGTTGGTTCTTTACACCTAGTTTTGGTGTAGCAGCTATATTTCGATTTGTCCTCTTTTTTGAAGGATTTCATAATTAGACGCTAAACCCATTTCATATGATGGGAGTTGTCGGTGTATTAGGTGTTGTTTTGCTATGCGCTATTCATGGTGCTACCGTAGAAAAGACTTTATTTGAAGATGGTGATGGTGCAAATACATTCCGCGCTTTTAGCCCAATTCAAGCTGAAGAAACTTATTCAATGGTCACCGCTAACCGCTTTTGGTTCCAAATCTTTGGGATTGCTTTTTCCAATAAACGTTGGTTACATTTCTTTATATTATTTGCACCAGTAACCGGTTTATGGATGAGTGCTCTTGGAGTAGTCGGTTTGGCCTTGAACCTACGTGCCTATGACTTTGTTAAAATGACTATAATACTATTGTGCATTTTAAATAATTAAAATGAAATGTAAAAGTAAAGGAAAGGTAAAAAAGAAGAAAAAGAAGGATTTCTAGTGTGGGATTCAATCCTCAACATTTCTTTGAATAGATGCGCTATCACCTAAAAGCATAACGACTACTAGAAACAGCACGAAAATCACGTAATTTCATGACTAAATACAAAATATATATATATATATATAACTCTGTCGTTTGTTTTTAATTAATAAAATAAAAACAAATAAAACTTTGATGTTTTCCCATAGTCAAACAGAAATTCACTCAGTAACCATTTATAATTTGTTATTAACTTTTTGGTAGAGTTAATTCAATCAATGACTACTAAACTTTACTAAACGTTACCACTTCCTCATCTAAATTTAAGAATGTTACCCTTCGCTCACTAAACTTTGCTATAAATTACTACTTATTCATCGAAATTTAAACGGTACTTATTGCTCATCCAAAATTGAATAAAGTTTCTTATCAATCACCCGTATAATTTTCATGATTATTACTTATTGTAAAATTTAGTGAACAACGAGTAACTTTATTAAAATTTATGTGAGCAATGAATTATCTTTTAAATTTCGATGAATAAATAGTAATTTATAACAAAGTTGAATGGACAACGAGCAACTTTCAAAGATCAATAAGCAAGTAATAATTTATAGTAAAGTTCAGCGACCATTCAGTCCTCGTTTGGTTCTGATTTTTAACTTCAAAAAAAATCAATTTTTTGACCATTACTTTCAATAGCCAGTCGTCATTTTTGACTTCTTCACTCACAGGTGAAATATACTTTTCTCTCTAACGATAAAAAAATTGATTTTCATAATTACTATCGAATAGGCTGAATTAAACAATTTCCTCACGCCTTTGATTTTGGTTACCAAGGTAGAATCTAAAATAGAAAAATCAGAATTATACCAGAAATTTGAGAAAATGTCCAAAAAACTATTCAACAATTAAAAAAGAAATTCTTTCTATTGTTGTTTGTGTTTCAAAATTTATGACTTATTGAATCAAGAATTTTTAAGAGATTACAAATCTGCTAAAAATATTCTTTTAGAAGATGTTAAAATATTGCTCTAATTGTCCTCCGCCGACTTCTCCACCTTCGGTCCTCGGTCTTTATTCTATGATGGTTTTCTGTTCTCTTTCCACCTGGCTTAAGTAGGTGTTAATATTTGCTTCTTTTTTGTTTTATTTTCCCTGATCTGGGTTTGGCTAGCCATTGCCTCTTCAATTATTTGTCTTCCACTTATGCAATTTTTTGTTGCTACTTTATATTTGTAATATCTATAGTAACATGAAGTAAATTTATACTCGTCCTATTTTGGTTAAAAAGCAAAAGACTTGCTCAATAACACAAAGAAAAGTCTCGCATTTGTTGTACTGATGAATGATGCCCTATGCTATGCATTTTTCTGGAAAAAATTTCTGTCAAATTATTGCGTGAATACAATCAAGTGAGATTGCACTCCAGGTGTTTGTGGAAATGCGTGACCCACACAGTAATATTGGGAATGGCCTGGGTCGAGGATGGACTTATCTATAACTCTTGATGCAATTGAAATGCAGAATGAAAAAGGAAGTGTGCATTTAAATTTAGTTTATTTTGTATGGATTGCTGACTGTGCAAATTTTTAAATTTGTTAGAGACTACAAGTAGTGAAGAAAATCTGAGACCCTAAACCCACCATTAATGTCACATTTATTTATTTCTTTATGTTTTGTAGTGAACTTAAAGTGAGTTGACTTAATCTTAACTTCAGGTTTTGTTCAAGCTCTTGTAACTGGTAAAAGGTTGTGCCTGTTTTCTGTTAGTTACATGATCAATTTCGAAATAGATTGTAAGCTAAAGCCAAGAACCCTGAAAGTGTATGCCTGGAAGGTGGTGTCTTAAAGTGTACATAGTCAATATTTGCTTCTAATTTCTCAAGATACATATAAGGCTTCAAAATTGATTCCACAATAGCAAATGGTACAAAATCACAATATAGAGCTAGAAAGTATTTACATGAACAAGTTAAATGGAAAAGCACCAAGGTAATAAAAATTAATATACACTCACCTTGCTTCCAGCTGGGTAATGGTCATTTCATTGGATGAACTAGTTATGCTTTTACCTATGGATACATCTCTTTCTGCGAAAAAACCAGGCTGATTTGCCTGAGGCAATGCAGCATCATTTCCCAACATTGCAACCACTGAAGCCATGCTCGGCCTATCATCTGGACATTGTTGCACACACAAAAGACCCACATGGATTAATCGTAGAACTTCAAATAGATTAGCTGTCTCACGTAGATAAGCATCAACTAGTTCCAATGACCTTTCTTCCTTATAAAGTGTCCATGCCTGTATAAACATAACGACATTAATAGATCATTTAGTCAACTTAGTATAAAGAAATTAAACATAGGCATCTCCAAGACAATAATTACATGTCCAAGAAGGTTGAGGTGCTGATCTCCATGGGAAAATCCACTATTTCTCTTGCCAATCACAATTTCCAGCACTAGAACTCCAAAACTAAATACATCTGATTTTTGTGAGAACCGTCCATGTACTGCGTATTCTGGTGACATGTAACCACTGTATGGAAGTATTAGCTAGAAAATAATGTTAAGAACAATGAAAGTATATTAGTTATGTGTTGTGCCGATGTGATTCTTACTAAGTTCCAACTACTCGACTTGTCTTATCTTCGGTTTCATTCCCTCCGAAACTTCTAGCAATGCCAAAGTCTGATATTTTAGGATTCATGTCATCATCTAGCAATATGTTGCTCGCTTTGAGATCTCTATGAATAATTCTCATTCGGGAATCTTGATGAATATACATCAGTCCCCTAGCCACTCCATTAACAATTTGGAGGCGCTTAGGCCAATCAAGTAATGCACTTCTGGTTTGATCTGCCAAAATGTTCTGCTAGTTAATATATGTCATCCAATTGTAGTTGGATGCTAAACACTAGATATTAATTTCAAAATCTATTATCAACTATGTACTCTAAAGAAAAAACTATACTGTATCACAAATTATTAAATGGAGCAAAGGAATAATGTGTTCCTATATTTATGCAATCAACTAGGATTCAATTCTGGACTAGCATTAATATTCTATTCACTGCATGATTTCTAAGTAATCCCTAACCATATGGCTCGAACAATGACTTAAACTAGTAGAAATTTTTTCTGTCTTTATATTGAAAGGTAATTTTGAGTTTACTGCGCTAGAATTATACATCCTTACCAAATAAAATCAAGTCTAGGCTTTTGTTGGGCATGTATTCATAAATGAGCATCTTTTCTTCTCCTTCTATGCAGCATCCTAGAAGCTTCACAAGATTTCGATGCTGAAGTTTAGCGATACAGATAACTTCATTCTTGAATTCATCAAGTCCTTGCATGGAAGTTTTGGACAACCTTTTCACAGCAACATCTTGTCCATCTTCCAAAGTTCCCTAAGATCAGAATTTGGTCATTTGAGAAGGTATTTTATTTAATGAACTTGAAGTAGCACTACATTTTTTTCTGCTGAAATTTATCTGTTACTCTCTTTTAATATGTCTCATAGGCTAACCTTTATGTTATGTGTATTGAATTTGAAGACTTCGTCCCATATACTATAGACCGGGATATTTGAACATTGATACAGATATATGCATGGATGATGCTCAGTGTGCAGAAGTGTCCATCACCTTTCAAAAATTTCTTACTAAATTTTGAAGAAGATCACTTTTTCCAGGCCTTGATTCTTGTTGAACTGAACCTATGCAACAAGTCTAATTTTCAGAAGACATACAATTTTGATCTTCTGCAGAAGTTCTTTGTTATAAGAAATAAAGTACAAAAGTTACATTTCTTTCTGGGATTGATATCTGTTGCTTAAGGGTTATTCACCGTTTTAAAATCCTTATTTCGTGCATGTGTTTTTACTCTTGAGGCATTGCCACTCAAGAAAAGTTCACTAGTCATATAATTGTATTAAAAACGTGAGGATTTTATATGATACTAATTATCTAAAGGTCTCTGATTTACTTGAAGTAATGTTGTATTCACTTTTCACCTTGTAAACTGGCCCATATCCACCTTGTCCAAGCTTGTTGTTTTCTGAAAAATTATTGGTGGCTTTTGAAATTGTAGATGCGCGGTACAATGGCAGCTCATAATCTTTCTTATGGCTTTCAGTTCTACTTCCTGAAACATGGGTAATATAAGCATGTAATTTAGCAGAGAGAAGTTGAAAAGTGAGAGTATTCGAGACCTAGTATTAGTTAACCTTTCACCATAAAATGGCACAAAGTTACCCACCTTCTGTTCTCCATATTGTGCAATTTTTCTTCCTTTTTCGATAATATAGCGTCAAGCTCAGGCCCAGCAGAACCACCCCCATCGCTGTCAAACTCGATATCAATATTTTTCTTCCCTTTCCTTTAGAATCTGCAGAAAGTTCAATCCAAAAGTACTTATAGTCTTTCATAATGACAGAGATCTTTCTCCTTTGTTTTCTTGTTTTAAGTGGTCGTTATCAGGTTGCTCTTATGTTTATATAAATAATTTTTAACATCAAATCCAGTATTTCAATATGACCTTTATTTCTCGTATCATATGATGTTAGAGAAAAGATAAACATGTTACTTACCTTGCTCGCATAAAAAAGTTTGCTAAATGTCAGAATTATAACTGAATAAGGTCATTGATAGCATAGTGCACCGAATTATTCATTGATTGTTTAGCATATTCTTACCCAATTCAGAAGAAGCCATTCTAATGTAAATATCTTGTCCGTGTGAAGATAGATCTCTGATGTCTATCAAGTCTTCATACCAAAACAAGCAGCCACTTCCCTCTCCGCTGATATTTAACTGTGTATACGCCATACAAGAGCAATCCTTTACGCACTCCACTTTGCATTCTTCAAGAGTCATACTCTTGTTATACTTGGAGTTCCGGGAATCTGGTAATTTAATTCCTGAATACTTCAAAAATATGTCACCCTTTAAACAATTCAAGGGTGTCCTTCGGTTGCAACCATTCGTCCAATCTGACCTACTCCAACCTTCTGGATCTTTTGGCTCAAATTTATCAAGACATACACATGCAGGAGTATTTGCAATATTGCAACTACCATAAGCACCGCACAATTTGTAAGTATCACAATTATCTGCTGGAAAATTGACGTAAGGGATCCAGTCATGGATCCGATCGACCCATGTCCAACGTTGCATAGTACCAGACTGAGTCAAAATAATCCTTGAAATAACTGAACTGTCAGTGGCCTCTAGCCTATGGTATACCTTGTCCTTGTTCATGATAAATACAAATCTGAAATTCATATCCTGCACTGAGTTTGTTTGCCCGCTAAAGGCAAGACCATTCCATGGTCCCAGTCTATACAGAGTAGTTGGACCTCTTTTTATGACTAGCTGTGGATATCCAGTTGGATCCAAATGAAATGTGAAATCCCCTCTAGCTGGATCGTCACTGGTCTTCCACGACGACAGGTAGCTCTCTACACCTGTTACAAAGTTCCAACCAATATTCACGCCTGGTAGGGATGTATCGCTTAGATAATCAAAACTCTGCCAAAGAAAATTATCTGGACGATCATCATTTGCTTCTCTAAGGACAAGATTTCCGGAGTCCAGCAATTGTAAGACTGGTGTCGGAGCAACTCTTGATGTATTGGAAGACCATATGATGTTATTAGTGTCATTCAGAACCACCAAGATACCTGACTCCGTGACCTTCAAGATGCCTGATGTATTTCTTACTGGAATTTCTCTGTTGGCCACCCAAACTGCAGAGCTATTAGGTATCTTGTGGTACCAAATTCCCACATACCGATTATTGGAGCTACCTGGGCTGAAAAATCCCAGTTCAAATCTTCCCCCTGATGAAACCAGGACGTCGCCATCTCTAAAAATCTGGGTTGTATTAATGATATCTATTGCTGTTGAAATCTTCAGGATGGAAAGTAAAAATGATAGGAGGAGAAGAAAAGGTGTTTGTTTAATCGGTTTCTTCATGGTACCTCTTTCTTTTGCCTTTGTGTTCTTGCGCATTCAGTACAGAGGATTAGAACTAGTCTATTTTGGCAGCTAATTCTCAGACTTCTTCGTTGATAGAAACTGACGTAATTTGTTTACTTTGAATGTATAGTTGACCAAAAACAGAAACAATGAACATAATAATAATAAGAGAGAATTGGAGTATTTCTTTATGTTATTCACAGTTATCAGCAGTACCATCAATTCCATCTCTTAAAGAATTGTATTCTTTCCTTAAGTAGAATATTTCAAACAAAAATAATAATAATAATAATAATAATAATAATAATAATAATAATAAATAAAAATCGACCACATTTAAATATTCTCAACTCAGATTGAATTGGATGCAATTTACCTCATTGGATTTGATATTTTGATGGAGTTAGGATTCAGTTGGACACATCTGGGTCGATTTTTTTTCCCCCCAAGTATTATTAGCCTGGCAATATTAATAGTTTATAACTTGATTCCATAAATGATTTAAATTTCAATATGCAGTCCTTGTATGTTTATTGAAACATGAACAAGTAAAATTTGGTATATTTTATATTGATTTGTATCTGAATTTACTATAATTTTTCTATTAACCAAAATTGTGTTTTCTTGCGTTGAAAATTCCATTAATCTTGGCGGCCCAAATATAAGCATGAGTGTATATATATATATATCAAAGTAGCAACAAGTTGGGACTTGGGATAATAAAATGTGATTACTATTGCAAGTGTTTGATGATCTTGAGACAACTCTTAAACCTAATATTAAGCCCCCGTTCTCTTTCATTTTTTTCTTCACTTATTTTCAACGACACAATCTTCTATAAAATAATATTATACATAAATTGAAAACTTTTCATTTTTTTTCAACCACATATTCTTAAAAAAAAAATGCTATTTCAAACATTAAAATTTGAAAAAAATGAGAGCCAAACAGGCGCTAAAACATATTGTGAAGTACTCTTGGTCATATGAATCTTTAATGTAATCATTATCATTAAAGTTGAACAAATTTGCATTTGTTCCTTCTTGTAAAATGACAGGTAAATAGAGGTAACTTGCAAGCAACGTTCTTGGTGCCTTATTTGACAGTCAACGGACGCGAGGCAAGGCTAAGGCGTCAATGCGCGCTTAGTCAAGGTTATATGCGCATTATTAGGTGTTTTTTTTTTTTTTTTTTTTAAGTTAAAGCTTATAATTATTAAATAATTTTTTTATTAATTAAAAATTTAAAATAATATTAAAAGAAGAAAACGTTTTTTTACGAATTTGCCTCACCTAATCTCGCATTACCCTTAGCTTCGCATCAACACATCGTCATATATTACGTCTTTTAAAACACTGTTGCAAGTACTAAAATGTTCTTTCAATTGCAAACCCATGAATCTCCTTTGGGTGGTCCATATACCTATTGATAAAATTTATATAATGCGTTATATTTGTAAAATACATCAAGTTTCCAACAATTTGGAGTTAATTGTTTCAATGGTCACAGAATTTAGGTCCATGTCTTAGATTAGTCACTGAAATTTAAAATGTCGAAGTTTGATCACTGAATTTAGATCAATGTCTTTGATTACTCACTGAACTTAGGTTCATGTTTTCGATTGCTCACTGAAATTTAAAATGTCGAGTTTTGGCCACTGAATTTTGGAATATGCCGTATGTTATTTACTAACATAGCTGTTGAATTTTGAAAAATATCGAATTTATAGTGAGTAATGTATAGTATTCTTCGAAGTTCAATGAGTGATGTACAACATTTTTCAAAGTTCAATGGTCAAAACTCGACATTTTAAATTTCAATGAACAATCGAAGAAATTGACCTAAGTTCAGTGATCAAAACTCGACATTTTAAACTTCAGTGATCAATCGAAGACATAAACCTATGTTTAGTGAACATTGGAACAATTAACTCAACAATTTGTTGGAAAATAGTGCTCCCAATCTGAATCAGAATTCCTTCTGACCTCTAACAAGCGTTAGACTCATTTTAATTGGTATGCTAAACACATTGCAATTCTTTAGTCGAAACTTGTGTAAAATTTATTGCACATGATTCTTTTGAGAAATAAAAATTTCAGCATGAGATTGATTGTAGTACTTCTATGTAGATAAAATAGTGTATCATTCTAAGCCCCTGCTTGGAATAGTATTTTTTGGAGAATGTATGACTAATTAATAAAAAAATAAGAATTTTTTTTTGTGTTTATGTATAATATTATTATATTGGAAAATGCAATTGTAAAGATGAGAGAGAAAATGTATTATTTTTAGAATGGAGCCGCTAAGATTAGACATATCAAATTCTATAAAAAAGTATTTGTGTATATAAATTTCTGCATTGTAATAAGGGACTACAAAATATTGTGCTTGAATAGTGATGATATAAAGTTAAGCTTTTCAAAAGTAACAATACAATATTTTGAGTCTTTCTTTGAGTTGCATTCTTCTAAAAATTTATTTTTTCAAAACTCATTTTCAATCACATTTTTTAATAAAATAATATTACACGTAAATTCAAAACTTTTCTTTAATTTTTAACCACGAATTCTCTATTAATCTACTATTCAAAATGCATTCTTTTCTCCCAAAATGAAGCTCAAACAAGGGTTGAAGAACATTAATACATGTAAAGTTGTTATATTTATATAGAAGAATCCCTCGACGTCCTCCTCTTTTGTGATAACCAATGAAAAAAAAATGCTATGCTATGTTGTAAACCAATTTGTATATCACCAATTTATATGGCACTACATGGTGGTTTTAATTATATGTGGTCCTATGTTCGATTCCCCTTATCAACACTTTCTCGGTCGAGCCTGTCGTACAGGGCTTGTCTAGTACTGTTTACGTGACTAGGGTGATTTGCAGGCTATTGTGCCAACCCGATGGTTTATTCAGTGCGTACCCGAAAGGTGACGGCTGCGAGTTCTCCTGTCATAAAAAAATAAAATAAAATAAAATAAAAAATTATATGTGGCCCTATAACGCAACATTAATTGAAATTATAATTTTGATGTCATATGGTGCCACATAGATTGATATTTTAATACCATTCAAGAGAAGATGTCCTTATTTTAAAGAAATTTGAGAGTTCGCAATATCAGGAGGAATTTCTTTTTCTTAATTTTGAAAGAAATAAGGGAAGAAAGATAGGGGTCAAGGTGACACGGCAGAAGGGAGTGGTTTTGGTATTGAAGAAGTCAAGAAGATAATTATTTTTCCTTTTTTTTTTTTTATTGTTTATAAAGAAATATAATAAATTGATGAAAATATTTCTACGTCCCTCGGTTTACCACTCGATCATACTGCTAATATAATACAAGGTGGATACGATAATTATCTTGGATTACGTAATTTTTAATGTATTTGCATCTTGACTTTAGACTCCTATTTTTCTCGATATCCTTTTTCTAAAATTAAACCTCCTTTTTAATTGGATTTGATGGAGATCGCGTGTTGATCAAGTTGGCATTGATCAGAAATTTGGATAGTTCATGTGCAAAAAGAACAACTTGCACCTAATTTGACATTTTTAAATTGTTTTTAAAGAAATATAATAAATTGAGAGGATTTCGATATAAAAAAAGGAATAATATCGGACTTGAGTGCTGCAAGTGGTATAGCTTGGGGACCACTGATGAATATTCTTTTTTCCAAAAGATTTATGACTTCTGCAATTTTTCAGCAGCTCATTCTCTGATTTCGGCTAGGTTGGTGTTGAGTATTCTTCTTCTAATTTCATTTTCCATGATTGGAGTTTGGCTAGCGATTCCTGTGATTTACTCTGCAACTATTTGGCTTCAATTTATGTATTTTTCTGTTGACCAATCCACAAAAGTCTCTTTGAAGTTGCGAAAATGAAGAAGATGATATGAATTTGTAATATTTGTACGTATTCTTGTGTAATGAATGACACTCTCTCTTATGCTTATGCATTTCCAATAAAATTGGTTAAGATTATTGCTCAAATATAGCTTTGAGATCGCACTCCAGGTGTTTGTGAAAATGTGTGAGCCATATGCTAATGTTAATGATTGCTTTGCATGAGGATTGACTATCTATACTTCTTGATGTTGTTATAGTGCAGAATGAAATAGGAAATTTTGCAATAAAATTTAAGATAATTAACTAAAAACAAATAGAGCATTACGCGTAGCTAAATCCACAGCTACTGACACTTTTTTTTTTTTGGTAGTGAACTTACAATGAGTTGGCTTAAGTTCTTGTAATTGGAACAAGGTTGTGCCTATGTTCGGTTAATTATGTTATATAGCCGTTCGAAATGGATTATATAAAGCCAAAAGTTCAGAACTCTTAAGTATCTATCTTGAAAAGTGTCTTAAAGCTCCATGATAAATATGTCATACATGCTTCTAATTTCTCCAACTGCATTAAGGCTTGGAAACTGATTCCACAATGGTGAATTTAGTACGCATTATTATGGAACAAAAGTCCTGATATAGAGTTGGGGGAAATGTGTGCACGAGTTAAAAACTTCAACCCTTATATATATAGAACACCGTAAAAACTATAGAACAAAATTCAACCCTTATATATACAGAACACCATAAAAAATAAATGAACACCTTTCATATCATATAATACACAAAATCTTGCAATTAAAAGAAGGCCAGTTCATCTTTATTATTATTATTATTATTATTATTATTATTTATTATTATTATTATTATTTTTTTATTGTTGGGGGAGGGGGACAGGAAGATCAAGAGGCAAGATACAAGAATTCATTCCATTAAGGAAATGCCTTGGCGTTTCCAGCAAACGTGTCAAGGAGGAGTATTGATATTGGATTGACATTTTTGTTGTCAAATGTCTAGTGTTTTTGTTGTACCTAATCATTTAAAAACAAATGGAGAAATATTACGGAAGGAGTACTGCATTACTGCAACTGATATTTTTACTCAAACAACATTTAAAAGAGAGAGAAAATTACATCCGTGGCTAAATCCACCATTAATGTGGCATTATCCTTTGGTGAACTTGCAATAAGTTTCTTTATAAACTCAAATTCCGTTAATGTAGCATTATGCTTTGGTGAACTTACAGTAAGTTCCTCTATAAACTCATATTCTGGTTCCGCACAAATGTGCCTATTTTGTGATTGTATGGTCCATTTGAATATAGATAATAAGCTAAAGTACTGCCTTTCAGAACTCAGAAGTATCTGCTTGGAAAGAAGTGTCTTAAAGTTTCTATGCTAAGTATGTTTTTCTAATTGCTCAAACTAAATTTAAGGATCAGACATTACAGTAGCGAATATATGCCAAAAAAAAAAATCCCGAAATAGAGTTGGGGAGAAATATGTGCAACAGTTAAGTAGTCGGGGAGAAATATGTGCAACAGTTAAGTAGTCGAGCACCAAAATAATATACTTTCATCGTGCTTCCAACTGTGTAATGGTTACTTCATTGAATGAACATCTAGTTGTGCTTTTAACTGCAAATACATCTCTTTCTGTAAAAAAGCCAGGCTGATTTGCTGGAGGCAACACAACTTCATTGTCTAACATTGCAACCACTGAAGCCATGCTCGGCCTATCATCTGGACATTGTTGAACACACAAAAGCCCCACATGGATTAATCGAAGCACTTCAGATGGATTAGCCGAGTCAAGTAGATACGGGTCAACTAGTTCCAACGACCTTTCTTCCTTAAAAAGTGTCCATGCCTGTATAAATTTAACCATGTTAACATGCCTTGTCACCAGGTTTAGCGCAAAAACAATAAACATAAATACGTGTTTAAGACAATAATTACATGTCCAAGAAGGTTGAGGTGTTGATCTTCACGAGAAAACCCACTATTTCTCTTGCCACTCACAATTTCCAGCACAACAACGCTAAAGCTAAATACATCTGATTTTATTGAGAATCGACCATGCACTGCATATTTTGGTGACATGTAGCCGGTGTGTGGAAGTATTAGTTAGAATTAATGTTGTGAACAATAGAAGCATACAAAATATACATTGTATCAATGAGTTTCTTACTATGTTCCAACTACTCGACTTGTCTTATCTTCGGTTTCATTCCCCCGAAAACTTTTAGCAATGCCAAAGTCTGATATCTTAGGTCTCATGTTAGTATCTAGCAATATATTGCTAGCTTTGAGGACTCTATGGAGAATTCTCAACTGGGAATCTTGATGAATATACCTAAGACCCCTAGCAACTCCATTCACAACTTGGAGGCGCTTGGGCCAATCAAGTAATTTACTTCTTGTTTCATCTGCCAAAGTATTTTGCTAGTGTCAGTATACCATATTCAGTTTTACAAAGCTTGGACATCAGAAATTGATTCCAAAATCTCTTGTCAGCTGTGTTTATATTGTAGAACTATACACATTTAATGTACCGAAAGAACATAACTTTCATATATTTATGCAATCACCTAGGATTCAATTTTTGACTAGAATGAATCTTCTATATATTCACTGCATGTGTTTTTATGATACCACTTACCATATAGTAGTGACTTAAAAGTAGCATATATTTATCATGGCTATATATTAAATTAATTTTCCAAAATTTAGGTAATTTTGTGCTGAATGTACTAGAGTTAGAAATACTCACCAAATAAAAACAAGTCCAAACTTTTGTTGGGCATGTATTCATAAATTAACATCTTTTCCTCTCCTTGAATGCAGTATCCTAGAAGCTTCACAAGACTTCGATGCTGAAGTTTGGCGATACAGATAACTTCATTCTTGAATTCAATAATTCCTTGCATGGAAGTTTTTGACAACCTTTTCACTGCAATCTCTTGCCCGTTTTCCAGCACTCCCTGAGATCATAAGTATAACTTGTGCATTTGAGAAAGGATTCACTTTATAAACTTGAAGTAGTGCAGTCTTCCATTCTATTTCTATTTATCTTTTATTCTCTTTTAACTTTGCTCCTAGGCTATCGCAGATACCACAATGATTGAAGTTGGGGACTCCCTTCTCTTATAAAATGAGAACTGGGAAGTTGAACTTTGCTACATATATCATATGTGTATGAAGCTCAATTTGCAGAAGGAAAACATTAAAATCTTTTACAATTTCCAAGAAAAGACCACTTCTTTTCAGGTCTACACCATATGGAGCAAGTCTAATTTTTCAGAAGGCATTGATCATCTTCTGCACAATTTCTTTGAAATAAGAAAATAAGAACGGATTAATATTATTTTGACGGACATAATGTCTATGGCTTAAGAATTAAAGGTTATTCATGGTTCTAAATCCTCATTTCAATATATGATTTCACTTTGGGGGCATCTTATCTCAAATAAAGTTCACTAGTCATATCATTCTTCTAAAACTCTAGCATCTGTTCACTGTTGACTTGGATAACATCAGGATTGCATGCAATATCATAAAAGACCGCATCTATAATTTTTTGCTCTAATTTGCTTAAGAGTAATGTCAGAAACCGCATACAGATTTAGCACATATTTACCTTATAAACAGGCCCATATCCACCTTGTCCAAGCTTGTTGTTGGTTGGTGGCTTTTGAAACCGTAGATAAGTTGAACAATGGCAGTTCAAAGTCTTTGTTTTGGCCTCCTGAAACTTGAATAGTATGAGGATATAATTTAGCAGAGAGAAGAAAAGCGAGATTGTTGCCCTGTTAAATCTGTTTATATATGACCATATTCTTGGCCTAGTTTTTGTTAATTAGTCTTCATTGTTAAATGACACAGATTGCTCACCTCCTTTTCTCCCGTTTGAGTAGTTTTTCTTCCTTTTCCAGTAATACAACATCAAGCTGAGGCCTAGTAGAACCATTCCCACCAATGAAGTGATACTCAAAATCAATATTTTTCTTCTTGTTCCTCTTGAATCTGCAAACAAGTTTAATCCGAAGAAAATCGATAGTCATTATGATACGCATAATTTGGAAGTTACACAAAAGGTATACATAATATTTTTCTAGCTCATAATAATTTTTGCCTACTCATGTAATGATAACAAAATCAGGTCTTTTCTAATTGAAGTATTAATACTGAAGTATTGATTGATATTCATATTCTTACCCCACTCAGAAGAAGCCATTCTAATGTAAACATCTTGTCCATCTACAGATAGATCTCTGATGTCAACCAAGTCTCCTGACCAAAACAAGTATCCGCTTCCCTCTATGTTGATACTTAATTGTGTGTATGCTATACAAGAGCAATTCTTTAAACAATTTACTTTGCATTCTTCAAGTGTCATATTCTTGTTAACCCAAGAATATCGTGAGTCTGGCATTTTAACCCCAGAATACTTCAAAAATACATCACCCTTTTCGCAATTCAAAGGTGTTCTTCGAATGCACCCATTTGACCAATCTGACCTAACCAAACCTTCTTGATCCTTCGGTACAAATCTATCCAGACATCCACATACAGGAGAATTTGCTATTTTGCAAATACCATAAGCACCACATAATTTATAAGTATCACAATAATCCGATGGTATATTCAGGTAAAGGACCAAGTCTTGGATTCGCTGGACCCATGTCCAGCGCTGTGCGACGCCACTCGGACTCAAACTAACTCTTGAAATAACTGATCTGTCAATAGTTTCTTCCCTAAATAATGTCTTGTTCTCATCCGTGATAAATTCAAAGGTGTATGTTGGATCCAGCCTTGAATTTGGTATCCCACTAAAGCGAAGACCATTCCAGGGTCCCATTCTGCACAGAATTACATTTCCTCTTTTTAAGATGTTCTGTGGATATCCCGTCAGATCCATGGAATATGTATAATCTCCTGGAGCTGGATCATTATTGTTCGTCCATGATGTTAGGTAGTTCTGTATACCTGTTGCAGAGTTCCAACCAAAATCCATGTCTGGCAGAAATCTATCGGTTATATAATCAAAACTTTGCCAGAGAAAATTCTCTGGACGATCATCATTTGCTTCTCTAAGGACAAGATTTCCTGAGTCCAGCAATTGCAAAACTGGAGCCTTAGCAACCCTTGATGTTTTGGGAGACCATGTGATGTTACCAGTGTCATTCTGAAGAACCAACACACCTGGCTCGAGGACCTTCAAGATGCCTGATGTACTCGTTACCGGACTTTCTCTGTTAGCTACCCAAACTGCTTTGAAAATAGTTACGTTGGTGTACCATATTCCCACATACCGATTATTTGTGTTATATGGGCTGAAAAATCCCAGTTCAAATCTCCCTCCGGATGAAACCAAGGTGTCGCCATCTCTGAGAATCTGAGTTGTACTGATGGTATCAATTGCCGTGCAAATCTTTACGATGGACGGTAAGGACGATAAGAGAAGAAGAAAGCATGCAACTTTAGTTGATTTCATCATGGTTAATCTCTATCTTTTGTCTAGACTTTGTATTTTCGGCAGGGATTCAAACAGGAAGAAACAACATTCCCAGTTATTCATTATCTACTGTCTTAAAATTCTACGTTTTTGAACTGCGATTGACATTTCATCATTACAACTACCACAGTTTCGCGCCGCTAATGAAGGGCGAAAATTTTCCATTGACTTTACAGCCTGATCAAAATTTGACAATAATATGGTTACCTTTCGACAGATTTTTTTAGCAAGCAGGTCCACGTTGCTCGACAATAGGTTGGCACTCACAAGTTGCTTATACAAACTCGGTTTCGAAGTTATATAATGTGAGGATATGGTTCACCTAACACTATCAACTTGTGACTTGATGGTATTGATGTTGACACAATAAGGTCTTTCCACGTTTTTGGCAGAGGCATGGTCTTTCCTTCTTATGTAGACTTACCCTCTACCATTTTAAGTAGAAGAGCTCTCGGTTTTTCCTCCCAGCTGAAAGTGAGCTCTCGGTTTTTAGCAGAGGGTGGTGGTTCTTCATTGGTTTTCCCCTCTCTCTTGGAAGGTAATTAGCAAGTTATGGAAGGCTGTTCCTGAGCCTGAAAAACAGCCATTAGAAGGGAAGAAAGCTGCTGCAAGGAAGGAGAAAATCTATCCTGATTTCCGGCCGAACACAAGTTGTATTTTTCCATCCCCTTTTCATTGTTTTGCCTTGAATCTTGTCTATTGGTTGATGTTTTGGTTGATTGAACTCCTAGGATCCCCAACAAACTGGTATCAGAGCTAGGAGGAGTGATATTAGTCCAAAATCGATCAAAAACCAGCAAGAAATCGCCATTACCACTTTCTGACCGAATCTGAAAACTTGATTTCCGGCCAACCTATTGACTTTCCGACGAAATGGACCATGGAACCATGACCAGCAGGAGGAGGCGCACCCTGTGGTGGGGCGCGTGACCGGCGATGGCGTGCGGCGGCGCGTGGCCAGACCTCCGGTGAGCTTTTTTTGGGCAGTTTACTTATTTTGACGTCCTGAACGCACTGATATCGTTTGTTTTCTGTTTCAGATTTTACAGAAAAAGTTGGACGATTTTGCCCCTAGCTTGACGTCTACGGCAATTTGGTTCAGAAACTTGGTGGTATATTTACTGTTTGTCAACAGTAGTTTGGTAAGATTATTCCAAACTCTCCGTTAGGTTAGGTTTGGTATCCTTACCGGTTTATGCATGGTTATTTCTTGGTTGCTTATTTGTGAATTCTGTTGATTGAATTCTTATGATTACTTTGTAACCTGGAAGCATATTTACCTACTTTATATACCTGTGTTTCGTGAACGGATTATTTCACTGTTGTGCTTCATTTCTAAAAATTGTTTTTAAACTCGGTACTCAGTTTTATATTGATCATCTGGAAAAGAATTTTTCAAAACCTTTTTTGTTGTGTCCACGAGTACAGGCCACTCTTTTATAGAATCTATAATGGGTTC